CAAGTATCAGCAATATGCAAATGACTCCCAAATTGATATACTTGGCCCCAACCTCTTTTTGAACCTGACCTTGGATTTCCATCCACATTCACCTTTCTCTACTCAGATGACTAATCATAAAAATAATAAGCAAAGTAAGCCCCGTTAAATACTGTTAGTCAGGTACTATTTTAGGCACTTTACATTAGCAACTCAACAATCCTGACAAGTTGCTTTTATTCTTCCTAATTTATAGATGAGAAAACTGAAGCACAGAAAGATTAGACTGCCTGCTCAAGATCATCTAGGAAGCAGCTGCATAATGACCCAACCCTCGCCCTCCAGATCTGGCCCTCAAGTGTAGCTGCTGAGCCAGGCTGCCTTCCAGAGTCACAAGCTCTACATGTCCAAATCCTAACACTGGCTCTTCCAGACTTCCCTATCTCATACTTGGCACCAACACCAAGTCAAAAGCTGAGTTGGAAGAATCAGATTCTAGACGTGAAGAAATTTCAGAATGACTTTATTTCACCTGTATTTTCCTTTTTTATGAAAGTGCATGAATGATATGATTTTAAAGTCAATGCTCAGTCTAAGCTCTTGCAATGAGTATAAATAAATGCTAACTAACAAGAAAGCATTGTGTCATAATCTAGTTGGCTACATTTTCTCTTCGTCAGCAGTATAAAAAATGATGATGCAACTTAAAAATGATGACATCTTACATATGCTGAAATTCAGTAGGCCGAATCTGATCTCACCACTTCCACCCTGGTCTGAGGTACCAGTATAGTCACCTGGCTTTCACAAAAGTCTAACTGATCTATCTCCTTGCTGATACTCCTCACCCAGCCTGCAGTAGTGGAGGTGAAAAAAGCAAGCTGTAGTAAAGAGGTAAGGGCACATCCTGCCATTGCCACTTCCTGTGTGACCTTGGGTAAATCACTTAACCACTCTGTGCCTAGGTACTCCCACCTGTAACATGGGAATAATGATAATAATGCCTACTTTTTGGACTGCCATAAGAATAAATGAATTAATACATGTAAAGCTTTTTAAATGGCCTGGCATATCACAAGCCCAACAGCCAGAGTGGTGCTTTTTAAAGGTAAATCAGATCATGTCATTCTCAAAGAAGGAAGATGCTGCTCTCTTCTAGTCTCAGCGCCTGCCACTCACCCAGCCTCTCTGGCAGCAATGGCCTCCCTGAGGTGACCAGCAGGCTACAAGGAGGCTCAGGAACCAAAGCTTTTACCTAAGAGTTCCCTGTACCTGAGAGGCTGCTGCTGCCAGGACCTCAGCCCAGCTCACTCCAGCCTCACCAACTATTTGACCTTCTCCCACTTACCCTGCCTCATTTGCCCTTCATAGCAGTCAGGACACCAGATCTTGTTTACTGCTCTCCTCCTTCCCAAGAAGATAAACCCTTTGAGGGCAGGAACTCTCCTCATCAAGCTCATCCTGAATCTCTAATACCTAGAACAGTACCTGGTCCAGGATACACGGGTGAATACCTGCTGGATCAATGAGCAAATGAATGGAACCAGGTTCCAAACCACCAACCTAGAGGCAAGCAGAGCTTCCATTTCACTGTATTTTCAATAAAAATACAAGGTATCTCGGAGTTACTTTCACCCCGCTTCCTGTTCCATCTTAATTTAAAATCCATCACAAAGACATTAAACCTAAAACCAAAGTCACTTTTCTTTGTATACTCCTAGAACATCTTATAGGCATACAGGTGGAGAAGTGCATCATGCAGTGCTAATCAAACTACAAAGAAACTGTGATAATTTGATATTAATGGTCCTAGCCCAACAGTTGTCAAGGTATGTATGAAGCAAAACTCTGCAAATGGAAGATGCAGTAAAGACCCTGCCATGGAGACTTCTGTGGGCTACTACGCTGTCGCTGTCCACACCCCAGACACTGTCCCTGTCATCTTGGAAACAAAAGTCGCTCAAGGAATAAGAAAGAAATCTTAATTATTTCACTGGACAATTTTTAATTTTCATCTTTGCTTTTCCTACCTTGTATATTATAAACATATTAAATAATACGGGTTTTTTTTAAACACCACCATTTCCATCACACCAAATTACAGATTTGGAAATTTCTATTTTAGAAAGTTGATACAGAAAACCATTGAGTTTTCCAATAAAATTAAACCTTTCTGAGCTTTTTGGTTTCAAACTAAGCTTGATAATTTTGCTTAACTTTTTTATAGGCTGGTAAATGTGTAACTTCATCTATTACTCTCCAAAGTTAACTACCTCCTACCTAGTTAAATTATATCATTTGGTCACAGAGTTAATCACAGCATTCAAGGGAATAAAACCCAGTTCTTAAATAAAACAGCAAAGAAGTTTTGATAATAAATAACGAGTAGGCTTTGCATGTACCCATGTGTAAGAATATCCACTGTAGCAATGTTTGCTATATGTGAAAACATTCACAACTGCGTACATACTTTGACTCCTGCTGGGACAATACATAATTGGGTGCAGCCCTGCCGGGAACTAACTGGCCGGGGATGTAGTGGAATGAGGCTTTCCTTTCTGTAGGTACTGCGTGCATGCTTATTTTTTTAAATCTATCAGAAAAAAATGTATTGTTTTATGTCAGAAGCATTTCTGAACTCTACCTATCTTGCTCAGTACTGTAACTCCTACAGCCTAAAACAGAGAAGGCCTACCACATAACAGGCCATAGACGAGCACTTGTCAAATGAAAATGAATTGAGTTTGTTTTATGCATTCACTGGACAAATAGAAGTTAAAAAAATTATTATTCCAAAAATCTAAAAGAATTCAAATGCTTTACAATACATAAATTTACGAAGAAGTAAAATTAGCCTCTGCGCCAAGATGTTTTTTGTGGATGATGTTATCACTTCATAGCTAATCCTTCCCCATGGCCTCCCAGTAATGACTGCACGAGCGCATCACACCAAAGACACATGTGTCATCAATTTATCAGAGCTGTACCAATTCTCTCTAAGCCACTGCCCTGGCAGGAGGGCCTCCTTTTCTCCTTCCCAACTATAGCTTCCAATTTGATGTAGATGTAGCGGGATATACCCACTCTTAGGAATGCTCAGACTATCTAACAGGGCATCACTCACAGACAATGCATTCCTTTCAAATCCTGTGTGAATTCACGCCTCTCCACCACAGGCAAGATCGAGCACCCAGCTCAGCCTGTCTCATCAAATATTTATCCAGGCCCTGTTGCGGTTGCCCATGCATAGTGGGCTCTGCTCTCTGGAGGCACCATGCAACGAGAGACAGTTACTTCTCTTACCCAAGAAGGAACTGTCTTGTATCAGCCAAACTTCTATCATTTTTTCCATCTCCCTTTCCCCTCTGGGAAACCCTCAGCAAGCAAAAAAGATACAGTAGGCTCAACCCCAAGTAAAAGATGATCATCAAACGACAATTAGCTTTTCTACCTTCTAGGAACAACTGCTCTTAAAACAACCTAGTGTTTTGGAAAATGCAGCTCTGAGTGGCACCTTTCGAAGCAATAAAACATACGGCTACATTTAAGAGCGAACAAAGAGGATTAAATACATATTTGTATTCTCAATTAAAAAACTACGGTTCTATCATCTTAATTACGCCACGAAACGTAAAGAAACAAGTTTGCTATCATGCCACTTTTCGTTATACTTCGAGAATGGAATGCAATATCGTTGGTCTAAGAGAGAAATAAAATGCCTGTATCAGAAGTAACAGCCCAAACCTGCTGACTAAAAATATTAACTGTGAACTAAACACCACAGTGCAGATGTCCGACATGGAAATCTGGACAGGAACACATTTTAGCTTAGGTTCTCCAGCGTGTAAGTCGGGACTCCAACACGTTTCAGCGTCCACAGCCCAATGTGACACCTTCCCTCGCACCCATCCACAGCGCAGTAATTTTCCTTCTCCCCGTGTGAATACATCAAAAGTCACCTCGGGCCCCCAGCTGCCCCAGATTGTTCCCGATCGCTGCAGACGCCCCGCACCCGCAGGAACTTCCCCGCCGGGCCGCCCGCGGTGCAGAGCATCCCGCTCGGACACTGCGCCCTCGGCAGGAGACGCAGGACCGTCCAGGGCGCAGCCTCGTCCCCAACGCAGTCTCCACTCCCGGGGCAGAGCGTGCCCTCCCCACAGGGCAGCAGCCTCCCCTGCCCAGCCCCAGCCTCGTCTCGGGCGCAGCCTGCTGTCCCCCGGCGCAGAGTCCCCCAAGGGACAGAGCCTCCCGGCCCCGGGCGCAGCCTTATTCCGGGGCAGCCTCCGGTCCCCGGGCGCAGCCTTATTCCGCGGGCAGCCTCCCGGCCCCGGGCGCAGCCTCGGATCTCCGGGGCACAGCGTCCTCTCCCGAAAACGCAGCCTGGGTCGCCAGGGCGCAGCCTTGTCCCGGCGCACCTGCCCTCCCCGCGGCGCGCTGCATCCCACGCGGACTCGGTGCCGCGGGAGGGGACGCGGGGCCGCCCGGGACGCAGCCTTCTCCCGGGGCCGAACGCCCGAGCAGATGGGCGCCCCGGGAGGGTGAATGCCAGGCGGTGCCGGGGCAGCCTCGCCTCCCCGCGGGCGCCCTCCGCTCCCGGGACGGCCCGCAGCCTGGGCCCAGCCGCCAGCCCCTGCCCGGCGCTTACATAAACGCCGCCGCCGCGGGGTCCGGAGCCTCCGCGCCCGCCCGAGCCGCCGCGGCCCCGCGCCGCCCTCACCTCAGCCGCAGCCGCGCCGCGCCGCGCCTGGTCCTCCACACGCGCGCCCTCCGGCCGCAGTCCTGGGCTGGGCGGCTCTCCGCCTCGTAGGCTGTGCGCTGCGGCGCGGCGCGGCTCCGGCCTCGCGCGGCCCGGAGCCCCGGCCACCGACCTGGCCGCTCGGCAGCGCCGCCGCCAGGGCCGCCTCAGCGCCTCAGCCCAGCCGCTGGCGGCTCCGCCCCCTCCCCGCCCCCGCCCGCCGGGCGCGCGCGCGCCGAGGGGTGGGGCCGGCGCCGCGACGCCGGACGTGCGCGCGCGCGCGCGATCCAGCTGGTCGCGGTTAGCCTGGGCTGTGGCGTCTTCCTCAGGACCACCTGCAGCCGGCGAGCTTGGGGCCGGGACCCTGCCCGCCTTCGAGTCCTCCTCTGGGTGCGCGGCTGCTGCGTTTTGGGGACTGGGTCTCACTGTCGCCCAGGCTGGAGCGCGGTGGCCGGATCTCGGCTCCCTGCAGCCTCGACCCCCCGAGCTCACGCGATCCTGCCGCCTCAGCCTCTTTGGTAGCTGGGACCGCAGGCGCCCCGCACCCGGCTGCTGGCGTTTGCGTTTTGTGGAGGTGGCGTCTCGGTGCTGCCCAGGCTCCCGGCTCCGGGGCCCACGCGCTCCTCCCCGCAGCTGGCGCCGCCCCTGCTTCCCCAGCTCCCTGAGTTGTCTGGGACGCGCGGGGCCCGCCCCGCATTGGGTCAGAGCTGGCGGCCGGCGGGGGTCGCGGCCGCCCCTCTTCCCGCCCCTCGTCCTCACCGTAGACTCGGGGAGAACCGGGTCGCGGGCCAGGACCCCGGAGACGGTCCCCTCCGTCTCCCGTTTAGTCCTCACTGACACTAGCAGCAGCTCCCAATTACCAACGTCTGGGGGTTGGTGGTTTTGTTTGCTTGATTTTTTTTTTAGGTTGATAGTAAAAGCATTTTAAAGTTTTGTTTTTTTTTTTTTTTTTTTTTTTTTTTTTTTTTTTTTTTACAGCATATGCAATAGACTCACTGCTCGATTTATCTGTTTATCTGTATTTACCGACTTGCACAGTTATACCAAGAAATGTTTACACAGATGATGATAAGCATATGTAGAAATGCAACATTTTCACAGACCAGAATAACCAACTCCAGGCTGCAGTTCTCTGCACGAAGATGAAGTTTGATGGGGAAACTCCCTCAGCTCCTGACCGCAGCGACCTGAGCCTAGTGGAGCAGCTGGGGACGGTGGGCAGAGCCAGGTGTGGACAGGCGGTAGGTCCTGCACCTGGATGCGGGGAGCAGCAGGCTCCAGGGTCAAGTTGAGGGTGTGCTAGTCCGGGCCTCCAGGCCTCAGGTGGCCCACTCTGCCCTCTGCCTGTTGCCCCCCTTGTAAAGTGGGGAGTAAGGGACCATCACGAGCCAGGGGTTGGTGGCACATGCTGTGGTCTCAGCCACTCAGGAGGCTGGGACTGGAGGGTCACTTGTGTCCCAGAGCTGAAGCTGTGGTCTGTGAGCCGGGTGCCTGTAAATAGCCACTGTGCTCCAGCCTAGGCAACGCTGAGACCCCGGCTCTGAAAACCCACAAAACTTAAAAGATGAACACAGATAAACTATGGGAGCCCGGTATGCGGTAAGCACTCTACAGGTGACAGCCTGGAACCCAGGACAGGTCACGGAAGGCTGCTGGCTTCAGTCACTGCCTGGTGGAAAACAAGCCTGTCTTTGGGACCAGCCAGCTAACAAGTGAGCGTTTCACCACATCTGAAGGCAAAGTACCCAAATGGGCAACCGTGGACGGCTATGTAAAAATCAAGGCTCCTGGGACACCTTCTCGGGACACATTCTTAATAAACAGATACGTGCATGAGGACTTTGTATGCATTTCTATGCAACAGGCCACCCAAACCTCAGTGAGCAAAAACCTCTCTTCACTGCTCATGACCCTGTGGGCCTGCAGCTTGAGCCAGTTCAGCTGAGACTGCTTCTCTCAGCCCCACGAGGTGACCACTGGGCCTACTTATCAGCAGTGGCCTCCTGGCAGATCCGGGCCACGTGTCACCAGCCAGACTGGCCGGGCCTCCCTCCCGGCGGGTCTCTATCGGTCTCTATTGGCAGCGAGAGAAAGCAAATCCCTGTGGTGCTTCCATCCCTCTCCCCAGGAGAAGCAGGTGAGATGGCCTGGGCCTGAGTGGACGTGAGGGACTGCACGGAGGATGGGCGGAGGGAAGCATGGCTCATTGGGGCGGTCACTGTGGCAGTCTTCCACAGGCCTTCACTTAGGTACGACTTGGTGTGGGGAACACAAGATAATCCCCGGAAGGGAGGCTGCTTATGCAAGTTTCAACTTGTCCTCTTTCTCCCTCCAGAGCAGCAGAAAGCAGATGGCGGCCAGGGCCGGGACCCTCTGCTGTTCCCACGGGCCTCTCCAGAGGCTCTGCAGGACCAGCCAGCAGCCTCTAATGGTCCCGTCCTGTTCCACGCCCTCAGATGCCATCCTCTCCACAGAGATGGTTCCTGCCATGGCGCTCTCCCTAACTTGGAAGAATGGCACTCCCCTTGGTGCTGATGTCAGGGAGGAAAGCAGTTTCCAGTCGCCCAGGCCCAGGACAGGGCATTCCCAGCTATGGTGGAGCATGGAGCTCCAGGATGCCCACTTGGGTGCCTGTGAGATGAGGCGCTTTGAGAAGGAACCCTGCAGTCTCCTGAGGAGGTCCAAAGAAATTTCGAGGATATCTCAGCCATCCGTTCTTTGTTCACTGTGGAAGTCGAACACTAGGGCTCCTGGAGGGGCCCTGGGTCTCCATAGAAGCATTAGCAGCCACCATCTACTTCCTGGACTTCCGTGCCTGCCCCACCTCTGTTCTGTTGTTTACTGCCTCCTTTGTGGGAATTATGGAATAAACAATCACTTTGGTGTCCCAGAAGATGAACCTGATGCTCGAGGGCTTGAGTGCAGGAATCCAGCCAGGCTCCCTCTGTATGCCCCAGGATACGGAGTTAGGCTTTGCAAAAGCATGTGAGACATCAGCCGCTGTGAAACATGGTCTACACAGCACCAAAAACCCGTTTGGCCATGTTTTCCCTTCAGTAGAGTTAAATGGCATGACCCTGTGACTGTCCCCCACAAGAAGAATTACAAATTATGCTGGCATTGCCAGTTTACAGGATACAGTGGCACAAAATGATTTCCGCCAGCTTAGGATATAGACCCAGGCAGACTAGAGAGATTAAGTGGATTTCAAACTGTGGTCTCAAGCCTTCCGGGAACTGCCCGAAAGGGAGGGAGGCTGCCTGCCTGGGAGTGGCCCAGCTGCCCAGCCTATTCACACACTGGGCTTTCAGTTGAAAAGTGTTCAAAGCTTACACGTGTAAATGCCACTGATCTGTGAACTCCCTTCCTGTCATGCCCAGAGGCTGGCAGAGTGTAGCTAGAAGGGTGGGACCAGAGGGCTGGGTCACGTGACCTGCGCACGGGGGTGCTGGCCTCCCTGGCCAGGGTGGCCAGCACAGCCTCTCTTTCCCTTTCCAGCCACACAGGTCAATCGCGTGCTTGGATTTCTGTCTCCTGAATTACAGAGTGTGTTGCCAACCTGCTGTGCTGAGGCAGTGGCCCGGTCTTGGTCCGGGTGTCCTAGGACTGATTGAAGAAGCCTATTAGACTGTAGTACCTGTGTACAACCAAAGATGTAGCTTTAAACAATCTTGTTTTGTTTTATTTAATTCTGCCCAATCTATTTGAGGAAGGACACTCATGGGTACTTTTTAGATTATAGCCTAAAGTGGATTATTGATTTCCTTGTTTCTAAACCATCAGAAGGAACATAAAACTGCTAATAAGAGGTGACCAATATTCCATGATATCATGATTTGAGACATAACATTTTTTTGCCCTATATTTTAAAAATAAAAAGACATGAGACTGGAGTGGCAAAAACCAGATGGTCCCAAACCATTCAATCAGCAGCTGCCATGGTGGTGGATACCTTGTGTAAGGCCCGCCCAGCTCACAGTGTGCCACCGTCCCCGGGACAACTCCCATCTCCCACAGTGATGGAGCAGGAGTGGTCTGTCTGTGCTCTGTGACAGGCATGCAGTCCACCCCTACTCCAGGACATCAGGCGGGATTCTGACTCCCAGGATGGCCCTGGATGCTTAGAGCTGGCATTGAGACAATTGTAAGTCTCTCTTCGTGCCTAGGCCTGAAAGGTTTAAGTCCAGCGCAGTTAGGATGGTCTCTATCACTTGCCAGCCTAAAGAGACAAAAATGGAGTAGACATACAGGGGCAGGCGAGAGAGGACATTCTGATGACCTTGCAGTGCCATAGGCAGTGTGGTGTGCGTGGGTGAACACGTGGCCAGGAAGATGTCTTTGCTTCAGGGCATTCATGTTCTAGTGTGGAGATGGCATCAGGGAGCCGTGCAGTGTGATAACTGGGACACCATCCAGGGCAGGAGCAGAGGCGTGAGGGTCAGTGCAGACCAGGCTGTGCCATGCAGCGCCAGCCGAGTTGTTTGGCCTCTCTGAGCCTGTTCTGTATCTGTAAGAAGGAGTCGAAGGATGAAAAGGCTCAGGTGGTGACAGAGAAATGCAGTTTTCTAATGGAGAGGCATGTGAACGGTTGCAGGAGCCAAGGGCGCTGCAGCCGCCCCACTCAGGAGCATCAGAGCTAGCTGCAGGAAGCTACGCTGAGCCTTGGAGGATGAGAAGACATTGATGGCAGGAGCGCCCACAGCAGAGGAAAGAGCACTTCCGTGGCACGTAAAGTCAGAGAAGAAAGGAGGCTTATGCCACCACTGGTCAGAAGAGTCCTCCTGATCGGGCCACTTAGACCTGCAGTCTGTAGAGACCAGGGAAAGGGAACGTGATGCGTGATGAAATCAGAGGTGGGCAAGCTGAGCCTTGGCCTGACGCTGTGCAGTCCGAAGCTAAGAATGAACATTAAACATGTAAAGTGTTGGATTGGTTGAGGGTTCTGAAGAAGATATGCAGTGGGCTTATGTGGCCAGCAGAGCTGTAAATCTTTGCCATCTGGTCCTTTACAAAGAAAGGTAATCCCTGGTTTAGCCAAGTAGGGTCTACTTCTGGAGCTGGGAGTTAGAGCAGCTGCCATCGAAGCACACAGACCAAGGGTGGCAGGGCAGAAACACAAAGCCAAATCAGCACCATGGGCGAGGGGACGGGATCTCTGAGGCACCCAGCGGTGTCTGCCTGGAGCTCAGGCACGCGTGCAGCTTCCATGCAGAACACTTGTATCAGGTGTCAAGAGTGAAAGTAGAAAGAGGTAAGAGGATTTTGGAATTAGACTCAACAGGACTTAGTGATAGATTCACGGGAGGGGCGCGGAAAGGGAACATCAGGGCTCACCCAGGATCCTGGCCTGCACTATTGGTGGATGATGGCGCTCTCGGGTGATGTGGGGATGGGGGAAGAAACCCGGCATTCCTTTTGGGTGCGTTAAGTTTGTGATGCCTACAGGATGGCTGAGTGGCCGTGTTAGGACAATAGCTATGTGCAAAAGACTGATGTCCGGAGAGGGGAGCTGTGCTGGGGACGGACATCTGAAACCCTTGAAAATGGAAGACGTCACCCATCACCTAAAGAGAGGGTGGAGAAAGGAAAGAAGGGAACCAGGGAACCTGGCACCAGATCCAAAGAGGCTCAGCCTAATACCAGAGGTGAGCACAGAAGAAGTGAGTGTGGGAGGTGGGAAGACCCAACGAGGCGCAAGAGAAAAGATGGTAGTGTTTCTCTGGAGGCAGAGGCAGGGGACTGCTTGAGACCAGGAGTTGGAGGCTGCAGTGAGCTATACCTCACACAGCATGTATTCCCTTGTGTCTTGATTCTTTCGCTCGATCCTGTATAAAGAGTAGAAGGAAGAAATAAATATGGTTACATAGGCATATAATTTTAAATTTACAACCAAAGTCTTAGATCTAATTAAAATTCAGCAAGATTACTGAATGTAAAAGTGACACACATGCACACAGCCCCAAAATGATTTCTATATATCTCAACAAACAACATGTAATTTGGAAGATGACACTGCTTACAACAGTAACAAAAGTATGAACTAAAAATAAATCAAAAAAGAAATACATGATCCTTAAGCAGAAACTTATTTTTTAAAATTATTAAAAGAGCAAGTGAATATAGAGACACACCAAACACCTCAAATTCTTTGTGGGATGACTATAAATATATAAATCAAACAAAATTAGCAGCTTCACCAGCTTCTTTTGAATGACACTAGATTTTAAAAATAAAACAGATGCAGAACCAGGATGACTCCTGGTAACATATGACTCTAAAATAATGGACTAGAGGCAGGAAAAAGAGACCTTTTTTTTTCTATTTTGCTGAGTTATGTCTTAATTATTATGTTAACAGTCTTTCCTGAGAAGCTAAAAGGTTATTAGCAACTGAAGCCAAGAGAGGAGGGGTGGCGGGAGGGCGTGGGCAGCCTGGGCTCTCTGCTGGATCCCCAGGAGCTGTTCTGGAGGGGCTGGAGGCTGGAGGCTGAGTCTAATCACAGTTGGGTTAGTGACAAATTAGATGGCTCATGTGGTTATTTAAAGCCTTCTCTCTAGGGAACTTTCAATTACCATATATTCAAGATCTTGCAGTTTATAGTTTTAAACTGGAATCTCAGGGACTCGGACTAACTGTTACCTATACAAGTTACTCAGGGATACAGCAGTTGTGAACAGTGGTGTAAAAAGTGGCCATCATCGGCTGGGCGTGGTGGCTTACGCCTGTAATCCCAGCACTTTGGGAGGCCGAGGTGGGTGGATTACAAGTTCAGGAGCTTGAGACCAGCCTGGCCAACATGATGAAACCCCATCTCTACTAAAAATACAAAAATTAGCTAGGCGTGGTGGCAGGTGCCTGTAGTCCCAGCTACTCAGGAGGCTGAGGCAGGAGAATCGCTTGAATCCAGGAGGCAGAAGTTGTAGTGAGCCAAGATCATGCCATTGCACTCCAGCCTGGGCACAGAGCAAGACTCCGCCTCAAAAAAAAAAAAAAAAAGTGACCATCATCGTGTATTTTCAAACATTTTTGTTGAGGTATAATGCATACACCAAAAGTATCCATGTCATAAGTGTACATCTCAACACGAATGTGACCAGCTCCTACGTGCCCCTCCCCAGCCAGGGCTGCCTCTGGGCCTTAAAGGTAACCTCTGCCCCAACTCCCACCTCTGCAGATCGGTTATACCTTTTTTTGCTTCACATAAGCGACATCACACAGCATGTATTCTTTTGTGTCGTGATTCTCACTTGATGCTGTGTTTATGAGCTCCATCACCCTGTGTGGAAGCAGCAGTAATTCACCATTTTCATTGTCATGTCCAGGGTAAGACCATTCCACAGCCTATTTATTCATTCTACTATCGATAGAGATTTCTGTTGCTTCCTAATCTTTGTGATTATGAGTAATGCCTCTATGAACGTCCTCATGTGTCTCTCTTAGTACACGTGTGTATGTTTCTGTTGAGTGTGTACCAGGTCGCAGGAGACACATAGGTCCCACTCTAGAGGTCACACTGATTTTCCAAAGTGTTGAGCCACTTTATACTCCTACCAGCAGGCAAGGAGCTTTCTGGCTGCTTCTTGTTCACCTGGACAGCTGGTGTTGATACTTTGGCCACTCCAGAGGGTCGTGGTGTTTCCTTACAGTGGGTTTAATCTGTAGTTCACTAACGATCAGTGAGACTGAGCATCTTTCCATATTCTTATATTCCATATGCACATCCTTTCTGGTGAAGAAGCCACAAGTTTTCTTTATTATTTACTTGTAGAAGTTATTTGCATATTCCAGACACAAACTCTTGGAAGCTATATGTGTTACAAATAACCTCTCTCAACTTGTGTCTTGCATTTCCATTATCATAGTGGAGTCTTTTGTAATACAAGAGTTCTTAATTTC